GAGCAAGAAGAAAGCCCCACAGACCCCTTTGAGGTGGTGTAAGGGTGTTTCTCTTCTCAGGGGGAAAGCAGGTCATCGGGGCATGGCAGGGCCAGACGATGGCTAGTGACATCTCATCCACCACGCTGGCACCCATCCGGGTGCCCCAGGACACATCCACCAAGCCCAGCTGGCAGCACACACCCCGAAAAGACTGGTTTCCTTTTTCCTCGCCCTAATCAAAGGAGGGGGAAAATCCAAATGGGAAAGAAAGGAATAGAGAAGGTGTCTCTCTGTCAGAGGCTCCCAAGCCCTAAAGGCAGCCACTGGAGCCAGGTCGCAGTGTTGCTTCTGCAGCTGGCTGACAGAGCTGCTAGGGCAGCCTGCACTGACCCCCCTGGTCCCCTGGGACAGGACATGGCTTCCCAAGGGTAAGGAAAATCAGACAGGTAAAGCAGTCTCCTGGAATGTGATGTCTCCCTCTCCAGGCAGCAGGGAAGCTGCAGAGCAGGCACCCCATGAGGTGCACAGCCTATGCAAAAACCTCCTGTTTTTTCAGCAGGGCTCAAAACTGGTTTGAAGTCCAGGCAAGGACCAAGCTGGAATCTGTGCGGAAAGTATAGGGGGCTGCCATCATCCATGCCCAGCCCTCTGTGCCATGGAAAGCCCAAGCCTCCCTCCACAGCAGGGGTGTGCAGCCCAGTAGCCAGCGTGACGGGACAGTTTCATGCCATGCAGTGCATTTTCCCCAAGGAAACGGGGAAAACACAGCGGAGCAAAAAGACTTCAGCTTTGTCTCCAGATGGCTCTTCCACTTAGTGCCAAGAGAAACGAAGAACAACACAAACCCTGGAGTCTCGGGTCAACCACAGCAAAACTGTTAATCCCAGGGTTGCATCGCCCCACTTCTGTCATTTGTATTTGCCACTGTGTTCTCCAGAAGCACAACAGACCAGTCTCCTCCTTCCAGCTGAAGTTCCTTCATTAATTACTTCAAGAGCCTTGAAATAAGGGAGCAGAGATCCATAACCTCTTCTCTCTGCTGATACAGATTTAAAAGTAGCAGAACTCTGAGTCAACACTCCAAAGATCACTCTTCAGATATGAAGCGGTAGAGGTGACGGAGAAATCAGTCCACTGCAAATGGGCTCAACCAACAGTCCCGCTGGTACAGCCAAACGGTGCTTTTCATTTCTGTCTTTTTACAGTGATAAACTGTATTTGGTCTAGAAAGGGCTTTTGCAGCAAATTTTATTCTAACTCTTCCACAATCACCCTCCATCCTCCCAACAAAAATTTCATACCACCAACTAAGAAATGCTTTCTGGCCATTCGACAAACAGTTTTTCTTATGTCGTTTTCTTCTGCCTCACCTCCCCTAATGCAGATTTTTCCAACAGTAACCAGGGATATCAGAGAAAAGAAAGGAAAACCTCATTGGAAAAAGATAAAACGGGGAAATACTGTTTACTATACCTTGGTATAGTAAAAACAAACCAACCAACCAAACAAAAAAACCAACCAACCAACCAAACAAACAAAAAACCACACCTCACAGAAAAATTAAAGCCAGGGAAATAACTCTCAACAAATGAAACAAAACTACTAACTAATCCACAGGACATCTTTTACAGAACTACCTGACACTGTTTATTATTTCCTCACACCTCTTTATGGCACTGAAAGCTGCAGAGTCCTTACTTGTGTAAGAGGGAGAAAAATAATTGAAGAAATAAATTGATAAAAATAAGATAAAGGTGTCTATAGGAAAGAAAAACTGCACTGTCCTGCTGTTGAACCCAGTATGGTCTCTCCTTGGTGGGCAAGGCTCCAAACTATTACACTTTCCTGGTTTTTACAGTAAAAGGCTTCCAGCACAGTCAAATACTAAAGCTTGATTGCCCCAACAGGGATGCACCTTGCCCAGTAATTTGCAACCATTTAATCACCCCAAACCAAGGGTGGTGAGTGCAAAGGGAGCCATCATCTGTGCATAAAGCAAAAATCACAGCCAACACATAACAGGTCCACAAAGCAGCAGCCATCTGCACCCAAATGCGGATGAAACCTGCAAAGAAACACTTCACAGTAGCCAGGGAATTTGTGATCTGTGCAGACAGTGGGAGGAAGAAAGATGTACAGCTGGAAGCTGAACAGGGCAATGGGACACGTTTTGCTTTCCTCAGAAATCAGAACCATGCACCACCATCCCTGCTTTGTGCAGGGTAAGCTGAGTCATAGCGTGACTGTGCCCAGGTTATAGGACCTGGACTGTCCAGCCTCTTGCTCCAGATGCCAACTGGTGCTCCTGACCCTACTGGGGTGACGGCTGAACACACACTACCCCTCTTCCCTGTGGGAAAGAGATGTGGAAGCTTCTTTTCACCCAACGAGACCCTCTGCATGCCCTGTCTGCCATCCAGATGATCACGAATAGACCAGAAGGGCGTCCCAGAGACCATTCATCTCTTGGTTTAGACATCTTCCTTCTTCCCTCTCCACACCAGAAAACAGACCCAGCATCCTGGATCCCCCAACCCCTGCTGCGACTGCTGAACAGGAAGGGAGAGATTGCACTCCTTTGGGACCCACAACAGGCTATCACCAGGACTGGGTGGCCCTTTGGCCTGACCTGCTGTGGCCATCCCTCAGTTCTTCCTTTCCAGCCCTTCACTGCAGCAGGAGATTCGGGTACCACCACCACCCACTTCTGCCTATGCAGCAGCGGCTGCACAAGATGCTGCTGTGGTTCCACCGTGCTACAGGTGTACCTGCCAGGCAGTCCTGTAGACATCCTCTGCAATAGCAAAGTGACCTGCAAAGGTGGCTCCTCATTTCAGGAGAGCACCACGGCATCGCTGACAAGCAGGAGTCACGGGCTGGCATGCACTGACTTCCTAAACCAGACCTGATGGGGGATGTCATCCAAGCCTGCAACTGGCATGGGCAAAACCCAGGCACTCAGAACCCAGCCCACAGTTACTCCAGCTTGTCTGAATCAGACCCATAACAAGCAAGCAAGATCATAACATCATCATAAAAGCAGGATTTAAGTACAAACAAGTGCTGGTTTTTAAGTAAGACAGTTTAGAGCTAGGTATTTTTTTCAGTAATCCACGGCTCTGGCTGCAGAAATGCCATGCATATTCTAATTACAGCAGCTAGTTTATTTAACAGAGTTTGACATTGTTTGACATTTAGCTGAGTCACCTTGTTTCTGGGTAAGGCAACAAGGGCTTTTCAGCAGTTCAACAAGAAAGAGGCAGAGATTCGATATCAAAAGTAGAACGTATATCACAGAAATTTTAAATTAAATACAGCTGAGCTCTATTCTATTCTGGCAGCTTCTCTCTTTGGGACACTAAGTCAACCCCAACGTTTTCCAGATATAACTCTTCCCGTCAAGGACATGCAGCAGTACCATCTCCCTCATGTTCTTGGAGGGTGGAAAGGGCTTGAAGTGTTGTAATGGGCATATGGGATGTATCTTATCCTCTGCAAATATCACCCACCCATCATCAGGACATCCATTACTAAAAACTGCATGCAGACTGAGCATCGATCACCTGCATTCAACCAACATTTCTCCAGGAGAAAGCAAAAGAAATGGGCCACTGACAGTCAATACAGGAGGAACAACTGTTACCTGCAGACAGATTTTCCTGCAGCACCTCACCCAAAGCCATTTGCACTCTTGTACAGTGCTTCTCAAAGATCTCAAAACACTTTCTAGCAAGAATGGCGTGCCAGCAGTATCCACCCTTACTGCACAGAGGTTTCACAAAGTGACTTGTCTATGAGTTGGTGGCACAGCTGGAAAGAGTCCACTCTTGGACTCCTCTCCTCTTCCCAGGTTGGCAATGGAGGGTAACACCACCTCCCCCTGGCTGCAGTGAAGCTGGATGCAGCACAGAGCCCTGCAGAGAGCAAACCCAGATCCTGGGGTGCTTTCCAGAAGGCCCGTGGAGACTGCCAGGCTCCCATGCCACCCTGCTGCGGCTCTGATGTTTGTGTCACATATTGCTTGTGTCACATGTTTTGCGCTGCTGGTTTCCAAGTCCCTGCTTCCCCATTAGCCCCACACATCTGGAGCAGCTGCTCTGCCTGCAAACAGTGTTGGGGACTGCAGCATGCTCCTGGAGAGGACTAAGCCCTCCCACCCCAGCTTCTCTTTACAGATCTTTGGGGAAGAACTGGGATCTCCATTTTATAGTTAAAGACAGAATGGACCTTTTAACAGACTGAAAATACTCCATTTATCCTAGCAGGCAGTACAGTGAGCCAAACTTTAAACCGACAGCCAGAATCGTGCAGTCAGACAATAGAGAGCTGGCCAGAGAGTGTATTTCCAAGAGCACGCTGCGGTCTGGCTCGTCTCCCCCGTGCCATCCTTGCAGTCACTCCTGGAAGAAGCTGTGTGGAAGTGTGTGCTGTTACCCTAAGGAGAGAATATCCATCACATCCAGCCCCTCTCTGAAAGCTGTCAGAAGGACAGGGGCCCAGGCCAAAGAGATATTTACTTATTTACTTATCTTTTTGGCTGGCATTGCAGAAATCCTAGTTTGCATTTAACCTTCTTTCAGTTTCCTTTATATCTTAGTGGCAATTCTATTAATTCCTTACTGTACATTAACAGTGTCTGCTGAGCCACAGCATCCACAAATGAAGAAGATGGTGTCTCTGGTCTCCCGTGGGCTCCCAATTGGTGGCCCAAGCTCAGGCTGTCTGCTTGCACCCCACAAGCACAGCCCCCCAGAAGCCATTGAATCCCTTTGTGTGGCATAGCACGAGCCAACTTGAACCTGAACAGCTGATGCAAGATCCCATGGGAGCCCTAAACACCATGCCAGTTATTTTAGGAGGAGGTGGAGGTCTGGTATCACAAGGCTGCATGTATGAGCTCCCAGGGAAAAGGCATTTGTTAAGACCAGTCACAAAAAGTACTAGAGAGGGTGGCTGGGAAACTCCAGTCCCCAGCTGCTCTCACCCATCTTATTTAGGGCTTTTCCCCACAGCATTACCTGGTAGAAAAGGGATGATTCTTTGCTTGGGGTCTTTCTGGCCTCCTTCAATAGGGAACTTGTCCAGAAGCTGCATCTGCAAAGGAAATAGAACAAACGTCTTAGGGGGAAGACATGGACTGGCTGCACAAGGACCAAGGGATCTCTTGGTCTGTGTGTGGTTTAAGAGAGGATTAGCAAAGCAAAGCAACTGCAGGAATCTCTCTGCTTCGTTGCAGGGGAGTCTGTACATAAAAAGGTACGATACAGTCCACTCCAAGAAAGGGAGAGCAAGTTTCTGGCAGTCCAAAGGACCTGGAACTGGGCCCAGGCAGACATCTGAGCCCAGCCTTGTCACCATTCTAAAATTAGGCTCTCATCCTTCGTTACAAAACACATGCCTCGTCTCTAATCCACAGCCTGCCCGCATTGGTGGAAACACAGTTTTTACCTGTCCCTGCAACAGACCACCCGCCTGGCTAAAAACGCTGTTCAAGCAACCAGATTAAAGATTATTTAATAAAATGTCTCCTCTGTCTTCCTGCTGGCAAGGCAGTGCCCACTGCCCTGTTCCAGTAAGAGCACTCCTGCTTTCCCAGGGAGAGATGGGTTTTGGAGAATATCTTCCACTGCAGTCCCTACGCTGAGGACAGCAGCAGAGAAAGGGCTGCGGGGAGGGAGGCCACGGATAGCAGAGCATCCCAGCGGGCACCACCACCACCACAAATGGCCAGGAGGCACAGCTAATGGTGGGTGTGTTCTCAGCCTGTGACAAGCACTCTTTCGCTCATGGTTACAGACCACTTGAGCCAGAGTTTCACCCTCATCAGCTAAGATCTTTGCTCACCAGCTCCTAAACCCCCCACACCACAACCACCTGTTTCTAATGCACCCATAAGGGCTGACCAGGCTCAGGATCCCATTGCACTGCAGAGCCACAACCAGCCTTCAACTTGAGCTGCTCAAAGTGGTATTGATGGCCACGGCCAGCTTGCATATTAGAGCAGACTGCTGACCACCAGGGACTTTCTATGGAAGCAAGCCTAGGAAAGCAGCATGCTGACCTGCTGTTCCTAAATGAGCCTTCCAATTTCTCTTTGGGTGATGAGCCTGGACAGACAAGCACCACTGAGGCTGAACACCAGCCAAAAGGCCACGTACAACCTCAGCCATAAAGGAAAGAAGCACCTGCTCCAGTGGCACCTCTGTGGACCTGTCCAAGAGAGACTGTCCCTAGCCCTGAAAATGGCCAGAGCCTCTCACCCCTCCCATTCACCCTCTGCACCCTTACACTGTCATTCAGCCCATGGTGCTACGAAGATAAATACCCAAATCTTCATATTCTATTCATATTCTTCTCCCACGTTTCAGATGTACAATGCAACACTCTGTGTTCCTGTTGATCCTACACAGAAGCCCTGGCTCCCTTGGGCTGGGGGAACACCAAAGCTCATGCTAGCCCAGGGACTCAATTCCAGCTACCAGGAGAGATGTCTTTCAACACACAATCCACAGGCTCTGTGGCCTCTGAGGAAGGTAAGGAAGGAAAGCAAGCACTCCTGCTACTTGACCCTGCAGAATCCCTGTCTCCTCACCAGAACTGGATCTACAGCTCAATACAAATACCTAAAGTGGCAGCAGAGGCTGCATGGGGGGGAAGGGGGGGGAACGGACGACTTGTCAATCAGCATTTAATCTCATCAATGCTATGTGTCCAACAGTGAGGGTGTGTGAGTTAACAGCAGTTTTGCTACCTCAACAGATTTCCTTTAAAAAATATTTTTTTTCTAACATGAGGAAAAAAACAGACAGATTTTTTTTTCTGTTTTTGTTTTAAGCACACAGAATCCTTCTCCTCTTCCACCACTCACAACATCTCCAGCATTTTCACCATCTGGTACAGCACACCAAAGATCAAGAGGAAACTTGGGAGTAGAAGGAACATCTGTGCAGGAGAAAAAGTTAAAAGATCCCACATGTTTCCCCATCAGGGAGTCAGCCTGGTAAATAAACAGACCATAGCTTTGCGGATTGTTAGCTAACTCACTTTTCTGCCTACAGAGACACAGTTTTTATTGAAAATGGGAAATTTTGTTTTCTTGTAGGTAGAGGTCCCGTTGTCTGAGGTCAGGCATGGGCAGGAGTTTTGTTCAAAGGAAAAAAAGGAAAAAAAAAAAAAAAGAGGGGGAGGGAATCCCCAGTAATTGACTTGAAGTTTCACTGTTGCTGCACTTCCAGCCAGGAAGGCGATTCTCACTTTACTACATGGTGACTGATTCAAGCTGGAACCGATACAGTCAAATTCCCATGGTTATTCTTGGAGTTAGATTAGCTTGGCTAATACAAGCCTTTTTAACCACATCAAGAGAGTCACAACGTGTGTAACTTAGTGCTATTTATCTAAAGGGTGGATATCAGCAAAATAGATACAATAAACTGCAGCTGGAAGAGTTTGTCTAAACTTTCCTGGACTACACTTTCCGCCCTGGCTCTTGCCTCTACTGGGAGAGTCTGGATGGCAGGGAGCTGGGGGAGGCAGAGGTGCTTGGGAGGCCACCAATGCAATCCACGGGGACACAGCGTGTCCCAGTGCAAAGTCCCCAGGAAGCAAGGAAGATTTCTCATCTTCTTCAATATATAAGACAATATCCCAATGGTCAACACGCACACGTTTGTGCAAAACTGAAGACAAGGAGTGAAGTTGCTGCTCCTCTAAATGGCCATACGTAGTTGGGCACCCATGGAGGAGTGTGACAGTCCCTTTCCAAGCCCCTAACCACAGAAGACACTTGCCACTGGCTTGTGGATTGGCCCCCGGACCAACGAGTTCGGTCTGGTATCTGTGCTGCCCCAGGAAGAGAGATGGGCTGGGCAGCTGTTCAGGAGGAAACTGCTGGCTCAATTTCAGGCATGACATGGGAAACCCAACAGACCTAAAAATGATCTGAGCAAGGGCATAATTGCAGTTACAGCCCAGCAACTATACCCCTTCCTCTGTGCCCAGCTGTTCTCATGAACACCTAAGAAAGCACTGTGCACACGTCTGTACGATGAGTACTAATGGCACAGAGAACCTGCAACACAGACTGGAAGGCGATGACTGCCCTTCAGCT